TTTCTTTCTACCAATTTATGTTTGTATGAAAAAAAAATTATATAATTATACAACAGATGTTAAAAAATAATTAACATATTTATTACAAGTACTTTTCTATTACAAGTAGCTGCTTTATTTCTATAGAATGTTTTAGTTGATTGCTTTACATATGTCTGATACACGTTTTTCCAGTCAAATATTAAACATTTGTGCGCACACCCCTCTTTCCTTCATATCTCTTCTCTGTCTTTTTTTTTCTCCCATCGTTTTAAAAATATCGACAGACACACCCATTGCATTAGTCTGTTGTACTTTTTCCAACGGCGCAATGCGATAATCTTTGCTTTTTTCATATCAATTGTTATTTTCAGACTAACCTTGAGCCTTATTTACTACATGCATGTTCATTATGGATTCGAAATTATCTTGCAAACAATATAATTCTACTACGTCGTTATTTTTCCTTCGATATCGTCAGCATCATCGTGCAGATTGTTATACAATTCGAGAAGACAAAAACAAAAACACCAAAAAAAAAGTTTGTTATATGTAGAAAGAAAAACAAACAAAAAAGCGTCTATGACGGCCATTCAAAAAAAGAAGATAGTTAAGATTCGATGTGAGACCGTACAAAACGCAAGAGAGAGAGAGGAGAGAGTAAAAATAATAATGTGATCTGCACAAAACAAATTACAAATAGAAAGAAAAAACTGGTTGAATGTAATGAGTCCTCTCTCATGAAACAAAAAATATGTCATTTTTCGATCAAGAAAAATAAAGTTGATTTAACAGGCTAACGTTGTGATGGACCCCAAGCTAAAATAAAAAATTTATTCATCAATTTTTTATCTTAACACAAAGAAAAAGATAAACAAATTTATATACCGGAATTGGAAGAATACGTGTAGGATTGTTGTTGGCCATAATATTGATTTGAATTTGGTGTATAATTGTTATTATTATTATTATTCCAATTACCAGCCGCAGACCTATAGAAACAAAGTATAAAAAAAAAAAAAAAAACGAAATTAAATTTTTCATGATCCTACTGAGAATAAGGATCCCATGATTGTGGTCCATTATTATTCCACTGTTGTTGAGAATTATAGTACTGTTGTTGTGAATAATTTGGTTGTTGATAATTACCACCATACTTGCCATAACCAGCATTATTACTACCACTACCACCTTTAATTTAATGAGCTATTTAAAAAACTTTTAACGAAAAAACACAAAACAAATACAAACCCGTATAGTTCTGATTAGCTGGTGGACCATAGGAATTTTGAGAATACTAAAATTAATTAATAGAAAAAAAAAAAAAGCTATTAGCACAATCCTTGCGGCATTAAAATATGAAACATAATGTATTTATTGTTGTTAATTACAGAAAGATTGTTTTAATCTATCTATTTTTGGAAAACATTTCTTCACCATTCTTCTTTCATTTAATCCTTCAGAAATGCTACAAAGAAATTGTTCTTATATTATAACGAGACTTTATTCATATAAAATCAGCGATCATATATCAATGTCTGTCACGTAGGAAGCTGCCGGTTTAACTAGATCCGATCGAATATGAAGTTTATTTTTTCTCAACATCACAAAAACATGGACCTGCAGCTTTCTACTGTCATGATCTATAGGAGAGTCTAAATTTTTACTACAAATTTTAATATATGTTTTAGATCATGTTTCATTAAATTTTTTTAACTTACAGAATCATATTGATTATTATTATACTTTTGATTGTTCGTACCACTTCCATAATTAGCTACATTATTTGCAGTAGTATTTGTTTCATCACGTCCCCAACCACATTTAACTGTAAAACCATGAACATCTGAACCATGTAGATGGCAAATGGCTTTACAAGCATTGTCTTTTGTGGCATATCTTATAATTTAAAATTTTTATAGTTTAAAATATAAGAAAAAAAAAAAGAAATTTTACCGAACAAAAGCATATCCTTTTTCTTTGAATACACGTATTTCTATTATTTGACCATATGGTTCAAAACATGAACGAACTAAATCTTCACGAACATCGCCACAATTACCAAAGTATACAGTCGTATTTGTATCACTCGTTCGATTCCATACTTCATTATAATCAAGTTTTGATGTCGAAGATTCATGACCATATTGAAGATTATTTGAATCTAAATATTTTTTCATTTTAAATGAAAAGAAGAATTCTTTTGTTTTTAATATCATTTATATAATATATTCTATTATTAATATATTTAGATTCTGTTTTGCGAAAAAATCAAACTTGTTAATATTCAAATATTCTTCTGATAAATTGAATATTATGTAAATAGAACTTTAAAATAGGGATTTTATATTGATATCTGTTCAATTTTGAGTATGATGGAATCAATCGAATTGTCAAATGATTTTAATAATCAGAAGAAACAAATTTTCTGATTATTTATCTTTTGTGTATATTATAATACAATACAATAAAATTCTAAATTTTATCGCTTCAGATATCTCCGGATGATTTCAATGATTTTTTTCTTCTATAGACACATAAGATAGTGTACTAGGAAAAGTCTTAAAAACATTTCAATTCCTATCACTTCTTTCATATGTTATATATATATATATATTTCTGAATTTTTCTTCTTTGGTACCCAAACAAATGAAGTAAACAAGTTTTATTCATATTTAGGATTATTGAATAGGAAAATTTTTAGATAGAATATATTATATAGCTCGAAAGATATTGAATTTCTGAAAAATTTCAAAGTATTTTGCTTTTTAATAGAGCACATACGAGTATAACTTTTAATAGAAATACCTGAAATTCGAATGCTTTTAGAATCTTGTTTAGGATAGAGAGAAAACGATTATAATCAAAGTAGGCTCTCTTGTAAGTTTCTACTAAAAAGACTTAATATTCTGTTTGATTTCTTTAAACAAATCTTTATGAATAAAATCAAAGTCCGATTTAATTAATATTTAAAATATTAGTTTCGTACCTCGATTTCGTGCACCAGTCGTAGTAGGCTCATTGTTCGGTCCTTTTCTTGTCGCCCAATTCGTACGGATTTTTCGTGTACCAAGCCATTGACCGTTCATACTGGTAATAGCTGCTTCAGCATCCTGGAAATAACCATGAATTCTTTGTTTCTTTGCATTGATATACTTACATTTTGATTGGTAAAAGATATAAAACAATATCCTAAAATAACATAATATAAAAGATTAATCTCATCAATATTAAACTAAAAAAAAAATAATAAACCTTTTGGTTTTTGTGTATCAGTAAATTTAGCAATTTTGATTTCCCTATAAGACAACAAATATATGAACAAAAAGTATTGTTCATTTTGATTTCTTACGAAATCTCTCCGAAAGGTGAAAATGCTTCGCGTAATGCATTCTGATCAACTTCAGGTGCTAGATCACCGACAAATATATGAAAGTGTTCTAGATAATAAAAAATTAAAATAAAATCAATTTATCGATTAATAATAAACTCACTGCTTGTATCAACTTTATTTGTTCCACCTGTTGATGTTGTTGCCCAATTTACTTTAATTTCTCTACCCATAACTAAACGTTTATTCATTGCAAGTAATGCATTTGCTGCTGGTTGATGTTCGGCAAATTCAATAAACGCATATGGATCACTGGTTGGCTAAAAAATAAATTATTCATGAAGTGGATTGTTATATAATTAAATACATGCTTCATGAATGATTTTACAATTTCTACATGGTCCTATCTTTGAGAATAGAGCCATCAAAAGCTCTTCAGAAACAGATGGATCGAGATTGCCAACATATCTATAAAAAAAAAAAAACATAAACGAAATTTGAAAAAAGGAAACTTCGAAACAAAAATGTACTTACAATGTTCGTGAGTTAGCATTTTCTTCAAATGGAGAGTGCATTTTTCTATTAGCAGATATATTAATCTATTTAAAAAAGAATAAAACAAGAAAAATAGTGAACGAAAAAAGAGATGGATCACCCTTCTATACATAGAATTGACTAGTTTGTGTAACTATATTAGTTTTCAGCCATACATGTATTCAGCAGCACTATCAATGTGTTTCGAATATGGATTGTACTGCAATACAAATTTTTAAAATTAGTGCTAGAACGTGTTCTTTATGAAAGTTGAAGAATTTCTTTATTAAATATACTTTGAATGTAAATAATACTTCAGTAGTATTACTCAACATCGCTCATTTATATGTAGATGTCGCTCATATCTGGTATATGTCGGTGGAAAAATGTATACCGAATGTAGTTCATTCCTCTATACGTTAAACTACGTAGAGAAGTCAATAGTTTGGCAATGCATAATATAGTTATATACTTTAATTTAATTATTAATTAATTGCTAATTTTCTGGATCTTTTGGAAATATGTTACGATTGCATGAGTCTAATGTGTATCACTTGTTTTTCTATTTCTATGAAATATGCTTCTCCAATTTGCAACACATCATCACTTTTATCACAAAAGAAATAAGCACAAATTATGCATTGAATTACATTGATCTATTTTAACGGATTCTGTTAGTCGTAAGTCATGATCTTATCATTTATAGTGTGAACTTTAGCCGAAAAAGAGTTCTTACAAAATATGAAAGAAATAACGAAGTCTATTTGGATTTAAATAACTACGTTTGCCATATAATTTGTTATCATTACTCAATACTAAATATATTTATGTTTGATAATGAAAAGTTTTTTTTGTTTTTATAACAAAACTTTTTTTGAGCCAAGATGCGACTATGTAGTTATCGCATAGGTTGGTTCGATACAGTGGTAATCATCGTTTAATGTCTTCCGCTCAAACCATAAACCCTATTAGAAGATTTTTTTAAAGATATACTTTTCAAATTGTGCTTCTCACAGAATATAACAAGCTTAGGTCAGAACTGGTTGCAGCAGCAAGTAAATTCTTTTTTTTTTATTTACTTTGAACAGTGTATTAATTGTATAATTATTTATCCGTTTTCTAAAATTTGTTCACTATCGAATAAAGTAATAAATTAATGCCAAAATCTATTTTTATAAGTTAGTTGCATTAATAACTCTTTTATTGTCTGCTAATAATTCTTATTTCATAATTAAATTGAGATAGATCGAACATTCAAATTCTTTCCAGATATATAAATTACTGATTTCTAATGAAAATATTAAGCAAAGCAAATAGAAACAGTTGACTTTTTATGATTTGATTGACTTTCGTATTCGTAAAAGTCATTGACATGATTTTCAGGTCGATAAAAAATGTTTTAAGTCATCAACAAAATGAATACTTTATGACTACGTTCTTGAAATCATCTTCAAGTTAAGAAAGTTACTTAAAACCCAATAAAGTAAAAAAGGATTTCCAACACGTGAAAGCTAAAAAGAAATAAAAAATTAAATTAAATAAATGCGAAAACCTCGGATTTAAATCCGAGTGTTATGTGTACTTCAAAAAGTAAACAGGTATATTCACCTTGTTTTTTATCATCTGAGACATATCTAGCCTATTTGATATCTCAATGCTGTTTTTATGCATTTTTAGACCTTTTTCAGGCGATGTTTTGTTAGAAAGCTACGATTTTGTTCAAAACTAATATCAGATTCGGAATCAGCATTAAAAATTGAGTCGATTTATATATGTTGTGAATAATTCTGAGAAAATTTTTTTTTTTGAAAAAATCCCTGTACCCCCCCTCAGGGATGGTCTTCTCAATAATGACATTTTTTTCGATAACTCAGCCATTTCTTGACGGATCCTGCTCATCTTTGAACTCGACCGAGACATTGTTAAGACTGAACTGTGAAGAAAATTTCATCATGATCTGACTCTCCTTTCGAAAGTTATCGTGTATACGGTCGGACATACTGACCGATTCTAGAGTGTACTCACTTTCTGAGTACACAAAAAACGTCCAAAGAGGCGCATATCGTCGAAAAAAACTTATCGGCAAGTTTGAAATTTTAGTTGCTAACTAATTTTTTTTTGGCATAGGAGAGCCTAATAACGACGTGTGTGAAGCAATCAAAAGACGTTGTATGCATGCTTTCTGTATTTAGATAAGTAATAACAAGCAGCTGAAAATTTCTTTTATTCACTTCTTTTAAATTTCAAAACGCTATATCATATCTAGATAGAAAGTACCCAATGTTTTCTTGGCATTCTTGTTTTATATATTGCATACGTCAGACCAAAGGGAGAAAAAAAACATATTGTTTTCTGCTTTACGTACTAATCAGTTTTGCCTTTCTCTTATCTTACGACACTTAGTTTTTCTTCTCATATACATATCATCTCGTCTGTCTATATTCATGTCATTTTCTCCATTATAGCCTTAAAAAAATATTTGTGGGTACCCCAGACGAACAAAGGACGGGTGAAAAGGACTAGTCATGATTATATGTCGCGCCTAGTCTTTTTCTCATAAACGTCTCTCATATGACTAGTCCGAAATCGCTTGTAGTCTTTAATCCCCGTCTTGACTACGTAAATAACTGGCATCATTATATCTGTTATAAAGAAAGATCGTCCGCGACACTGCATATAGCAATCTTATGCAGTGATCTAGTCTAAGTAACAGAGATATTAGGCAGACGGTTCGATCCGAACATGCATGCAGTGTATAACTTATCCATCCTTTAATCCATTGAACCATATATGATCAAGCGATATTGCTCAAATTTTTCAAGTTTATATATGAACAAAAAATATTTATCATAAAATTTATTATAATTTAATATTTAAATAAGTCCGAATAAAATTAATTTAGAAATTTTTTTATCTCTTCCAGAAGATTTTTTTTATCAACGAAACCTAAGAAAAATTATTTTCTATTAGAAAAACAATTATAATTGAGAAAAATAAAACTAATATAAACAAAAAATAATATTTCTTTTATTTAATGATTTATGATTAGTTTATTTTAAATTATTGTAATTTCAACTTAATAATCAATTAGAATGCTATAATTTAAATCCATTTATAAATTCAAACTGTCAGAATTGATTCTTACAATAAAATATATTTCTCATATAAAGATATTCCTCAAATAAAATTAGTTCGATTTTTTACAATCTAGAAACTTTCAACGATATAAATAGGCAACTCTCACTAAGACGTTAACAGCTGCTTTGTTATTTTATTCATAATTTTATATTTCAACATACTTTTGTAGTTTTAGTATAAAAAGTATAACATTTTTATTCTATAAAGTTACTTGATGCCTATTATACATATGGATTGATAATAATTGTTAACTTGTATACTATCAAATCTTCAATCAACTCTTGTCGTAATTGTTCGTTTTGAGAAGCTATTTCTATTGAAAATGAAAAAATATTACACAATTTTCTAGTTTTACTATGAACCAGTCTTAAAAAAGTTGTCTGGAAAATAAGATCAAAATGAAATGAACTGTTTGAAGGATTTAGACTATTTTGGACCAAGGTTAGCAGTACTAGCTTCACGAAACGAACTAATCATGGATGATAAAGATGACGTTTTACATTAATTCATATCATTTTTGAAAACAATCCAGACTAGTCAGACATTCAATACTATGGAATTCAATGCTCGAATCTACCTGTCGTCATGTATCTTTCTGGGTTTTCTGTTTTACTAACGAGTCTAGACAATATGAACTAGTCATGACAAGTAGTGAACACAGTCTGGACCAGTGTATATTTGCTTACACGACATACTTCGTCAAGATTACTAGTCCTGATGAATCTCAGGTCATCTCAAACTAAGATCAGACGGTAATGCAGACATTCGAGATTAGTCTTGTTGAACGTCCTTTGTCATTTTTTTGTTCGTCTGGGGTACAACAGTCTTGACATTGAATGTATTCAATTGATGTGATGACGAATTCTACAATCTTATATGTCATATGATAGGTTCTGATGAAGCTGCATTGCTCAAGATCTAGAATATTCAAGCTGTCAACTATTTTCTATATATATATCCAATCTTTTTTTATGTTCATGATCTTGCTATTGAAGATATCGATTGTATTCTCAAAAATAATTCATAGATTGTTAAACCACCAGGTAAATAGAACTTGATTGAATATTGTCGTTATCTTTTTATTAAGAAACAGAACGCAATAGTAAAGAACATTCATGACAAAATTTCCAATACGTCTTCATCCATCATTATTGTTTCCACTACAACAACTAATTCGTCTTGTCAGATGACTGTCACTACTGATAATCTATATTCATACATAACACGTTGTCCTTTACTATCAGGCGCTGCTACTATGAAAATTCGTTGTCAGGACATTTCAGCCAATATTAATACATTCAAACACTGTTTAGTCAAGCTGAAAATTTATCCTGATAGTAGACAGAACTTTGCATCATATGACAGACTCTCTAGTGAAGATGTACAGTCAGCACAAGAAGATATATCAAATTCATGACTGGCTCTATCATACATGGTTTTTCTGTTTTCATGGTGCTGTATGTGGTGGGTTTAGTTAACTACCAAGATGAAAATATGATTATGATAAAACTTTTGCTTAGGGCTCAAATATTGAAACAACTTCTCAAAGTCAAAAAAAATTAAACTAATGATTCTATATTATAAATGAATCCTTGTAATCAATACTCATCAATTAACTTCTTTTATTCGTCTTGTATTGCAAAAAAAGTTGCCTGTAGAGTCTCTCTAAGCCTTTCTTTTTACTTTCCAAACATACGAAGGCACTTTTCATTCAGTAAAAACTATATCTGGCGTATTTTCGTTTATTGTTAATTTTTCAGTGATGTAATGTCTCTGTGGTACCAGAAAACTCTTAATGTTGCATTCTCTTAGGACTCAAAGCTCACTTAACCGTACCATCATTGATTCAACACTTCTCTTCTTTTGTTTTTTAAGCATCACAAACAAACTGGTAATTTGCTAATAGCTGCGATTGTTTTAGCAATGTGGTGTTTGGAAACAACTGATATTGAGCAACTTGTCTCTTGTGTTTTTGATGACTAGATCTGATGATTTGAGTCTTGAAGGCACAATAAATTAAAATGATCAACAAAATAGATAAGGAATATGACGTAACTGTTTAATAATACATCAAGCATCAATTTTCACCGTGTACGTATATCTGATAACCTACATGGGGTCTTATNATTGAAAATGAACATTTTGAAGTTGTTAAAGTTATACTTGATAAAATTCCTTATGAAAAATTTCGTGATGCACTTCTATTGGCAATTTATTTGGGTCATACAAATATAGCTGATTTTATTATGAATCATCCAACCTATCGAACACATAGTGGTGGTTTTCTTGATCCAACACATCCACAAGCATACGATGATTCACAATTTAGTTCTGATATTAGTAAGTATTTCGATTAGAATTCATACGATAATCTTATTATTTAGCCTGGTGAATGTACTTAATTCAGGGTACCCTACTATTAGTATGTTACAGAAACCTTTGAGTACTTAATGAGTTTTTACCACTTGATTACAAAATGCTTGTAAATGTTCAATTTATTAACTTGTTGAAAAGTTTTTCATAGAATGCTATAGAAACTGAACATGTATCTGGATGGGTACCTGATAAGTGTCCATGTACTGCGAAAAATCTCTGCAGAGTATCCAAAGAAAATCCTGTGACATACTGCTAACAAGGTATCAAAAAGATACTCTACTGAATCACCAGAAAATTATGCGAGCTGATGATTGTGAGAATATTCTTCTGTCGAGATATTGAATTTGGTAAAAAATAGTCGTTTGTCAAAAAACCGAGTGCACTTCAAAATTCAATATCTTGACAAATAAACATTCGTTTCAGCTGAAATTTTCTTATGTAGACACCCAAAATTTGATCGAACTATCAGTTAAACACTCATAACTTGGTTTTAGATATCCATAGGTACGAATCCTCTTAGGATTTTTCTAGTTTTACCAAGACATCCTTTTGAACCGAATATAAGCTAAAACATAGGGTATGAGTTTAGGTAGTTCACTCATCAGTACGTTTAGTAGGGTCAAAAAAAGAATAACTTATCAAGTTTAAATTTTGTTGTTTCTTAGCTCCACTTATTCTTGCTGCCCAATATAATCGTTTACAAATTGTTCATCAATTATTATCTAAAGGTGAACGTATAAAAAAAACCACATGCAAGTATGTGTCCATGTGTGGATTGTGCTGATAGTTCTGCTTATGATTCATTTCGTCAAGCTCAAGTTCGTTTATCTGCATATAAAGGTCTTTCATCAGAAGTTTATATAGCTTTAACATATCCTGATCCAATTTTACAAGCTTTTGAATTAAGTCATGAATTACGAACACTTGCTAAAGTTGAACATTATTTTCATGAAGATTATGAAAAAATAGCTAATCAATTATCAATATTTGTTACACGATTACTTGATAATGTTCGAGGACATGAAGAACTTGAAATTGTTTTAAATAAAACTGGTCGACCAAATGAAGAAAAATATGAAAATTTAGCTCGATTTGATTTAGCTATACTTTATCAAGAAAAAGCATTTGTATCACATTCAAATTGTCAACAAAAATTAATGGAAAAATGGTATGAAAATTTATCAGCAATTAAAAATGCTCATCTTACAAAACGTTTATTATTTTATCTTGCTTTTATTATTTGTTTACCATTTTTATTATTGGCTTATTATTTTTTTCCTAAATCAAAAATTGGTTCATTGGTATGTATTTATATAAAATGAAATAATTCAAATTATCTTTTCAATAGAATTTTTTTTTTCTTATCTATTCATATTATTTTTAATAGATTAACTAAATGATGATTCTTTTGTTTTTTCTTTAAGTGTCATCAACCAAATTTAAAATTAAAAGCATATATTGTTTCTTATCTTGCGTTCATTAGTCTTATTATAGCATCAAGCTATTTTTCTATATCACATTTACAAAAAACAAAATATCTTTCGGATTATGATTCAGAGATTTATAATTATTATATTAAACATATTTATGAAAATATTCAATTAAGAAATGATTTAATTAGTCTAAATGAAAATGAACATGATAGTAATAATGATAATGATACAGATTCTCTTATCAATTGTAATATTAGTCTTCGTTTTATGGAACCAAATCCATTTCAAATAGCTATTTTTATTTGGGTTATTGGTTTTGTTTGGCAAGAAATTAAACAAATATTTGGTTCAGGTATACGAGTTTATCTAACATCACATAGTAAGTTTAACAAACAAAAACAAAAAAAATAACATTTTGAATTTTTTATATAAAAATAGAATTATTTTTTTAGGTAATTATGTCGACTGTTTAATGAATATACTTTATATATTATATTTTATATTTCTCTATTCAACTATGGTTTTAACTCGTACATCAATGAATACATTTCATTCATCAGTTTATTGGGATGCTATTGCTCGCTATAATGAGACATCAGATAGTGAAAAAGAGCATCTTCTTACTAAAACTTATCATATTCTTTATTGGATTAATGCTGATCGATATTATTGGAACAGTGGGGATTCACAAAATTTAGCTGAAGCTTTTTTTGCTATGGGAAATGTTGCTAGTATTTGCCGAATCTGTTTTCTATTGCCAATTATTGGATTTGTTGGACCATTACAAGTAAATATATATATTTGTTATTTCAATGAATTCTTGTAAATGAGTAGACGTTGATAAATTTAGCTTTAGTTCTGATCTGAGGAACTGTTGAAAAAATTTCGTTGATCGACTCCGAGCAGAGATGTCCACAGGGCAGGGCCGCCCTGCCCTGCCCTGCTATTTTACAGGGCAGGGCAAGACCTTTGCGCCCTGCTCATTGGAATCAAAAGTTTCGTTTTATAAAAAGCTTTTTTATTTATCCAACAAATATGGCATAATAGAAGAACAAGAAAGATTTCGTTATCAGCTCGTAACAGACTAATCGTGATGGCACGGTAACGGTACATTACAATGAGAATAGTAGAAATGATTGGAGAAACAAAAGAATCACAACGATGGATATTGACGATGCATCAAATCTGATTCCTGTCAAATCCAATTCCTAGGNTCTAGGCATCCTGAGCAGAGATATACAATTATTACTGTTACTAATATCGGCGCCAGAAGGAAGGTTTTCTCCACTATTGTAAGGCCAAAACATAGTGTTGTTCGGGCGGATTATGGGGTTTGTAGGGACTCTCTTTCATATGGCCCGAACGATACCATGTTTTGTCCTTATAATAGTAGAGCGAATTCTTTGGTGGTTGATAGGAAACGTCGTTTTCTATGAGCTACAGAAAAAATTCACTCTACTATTATAAGGACGAAACATATTGTTATTCAGGCCAATCTGGGGGTTATCAAGGATCCTCTTTCATATGGCCCAAACAACACCATGTTTTGTCCTTATAATAGTAGAGTGAATTTTTTCTGTAGCTCATAGAAAACGACGTTTTCTATCAACCACCAAAGAATTCGCTCTACTATTATAAGGACAAAACATGGTATCGTTCGGGCCATATGAAAGAGGGTCCCTACAAACTCCATAATCGGCCCGAACAACACTATGTTTTGTCCTTACAATAGTGAAGAAAACCTTCCTTCTGGTGCCGATATTAGTAACAGTAATAATTGTATATCTCTGCTCAGGATGCCTAGACAACCGAACCCTTGTAGGGTGTTTAATAACTCACTGAGGTCTATCGTTTGGGCATGTACCTGATTCAAAAGCGAGGGGACAGTTGGGGACCTTCCCTCGTCAGTGAAACTAAGAAAAATTTGATCTTCAACACAAGACATATAAAGAACGTAGATTGCACCGATGTGTGAAGGTGTTTGAGACAACGGGCATTTTTTTCTTTGCTTTCTTCATGTTTTATTAATCTAATGCTGACAAACTGTAATGAATCTTTTTAATAAGAATTGTATATTCTCGTGAAGTAATCATAAAAACTGAATAATGAAAAGAAAACAGTTGAAAAAAATTCAATTATTTTATTAAAATTTATTGACAGAACGAAGTAAAACAAAGTGTGTGCAAGAAAAGCACAAGCAAAGAAAAAACACGGCCATTGTTCGAAGCACAAAATAGTAAAATTATTTAATCATTACCTTTGGTGTTGACTTATTCTATCTGTTATGCGCGTTAACAGAATCTACACTACGTAAAAGTAACTTTTTATTGTATCAGTTTATTCATATTTGATTGTTATATTGAAAAAAACTCAACTTAGTGCCATTGGATCAGCTTATTTTTTTTTTAATTCTTAACATCATGCTTATTCAAATGCTCATTTAAAAAAAACAAGATGCTCGCTTTAATTAAGATTCTTCTGAAGGTCATATGAGTAAGCTGAATATTCGATATGTTGATCTGAAGTTTTTATCAAATTCATGTCTGATTTGAACTACTCATCATTGAAAAATGCAACTCGAATAGACCATGTTAAATGAGAAATTCAGTCTCTGAAACGAGTCGTCGAAATGCCAGACGAAAAATCGTAATTCTATTTTTGCATTATTCAATGTTCTTTATAAATAATATGAATGAAATTTTTATTGCGAAGCTCCATTAATCATGAATCGCAAATATTTATGGCTTCTTAGAAGTAAAGTAAAAAAAAAATATTGTATTATAGACAATACATTCGAACGCCTTCATAGCAATGGTTCATTTCTTATTGATTATTATATTTTTCATATTTTCAGTATTAACAAACGCACAAATCGGTAGGATATCTAACTAATATTTTCGTTTGAAACAAAAAGAAATATACATATTTTTATATGTGACATAGAAACTGAGACTTCCCCTGCAAAATCAGCATGGTTTTGGCCAGTATTAAGTATTTGTATCGTACTTATAGTTGGTATTCCATGTATATCCTTTATTGGATTTGTTATTTGTCGTGTTAAATATAAATTAACTTATGATTCAGATGAATCAAGTATTGGTTCAAATTCATCATCATCATCATCATCATCATCACCAACAGTACCAGTACAACAAGAAAGACGACGTAGACATTCTCGTCATCAACGCTCACATCACGTAGAAGGTTTTCGTACTCCGCCACCTCCTTACACAGCAACTGAACAACCACGAAATCTTTTTGTAACAACATCACCTCCACCTTCATATGAGTCTCATATTAATGAAAATGTACCAACAACAAATTCATCAACCGTAATTAATTTTCAGTCAACAGAATCTATTGAGAATTCAACGACAACAAGAGGTCTCGATGCATCATTATCAACAATAATAAGTCCATCCATATAGACATTTCAAGTTTGAAAAAGAAAACAAAATGTCAAACACATCTTTTTTTTTTTATTCAATTTGCATCTTTAGTCTCTATAAATGTTTTAAGGAAAAAAGCCTTATTCGTGAGTGCCATTACTATCAGAACGAAAAGAAGAAGTACATTACGAAGAACAAAAAGAAAGGGTTTATAACACCAAAAAAAAAAGGATACGGATAATGAAGTACCATGCATAGATACAGAAACGACGAATTAAATTAATTACCCAGACAAAATAAATTTTGTTTGATTAATATATGAGAAAGAAAAAGACGGAGTAGACTAGATTAAAGAAAAAAGAAAGAAGTGTGGATGAAGAAAAGAATTATTTTCACATCCAAACATGTTCATATAGATATATCTATATTTCATTCGAATGCAAAATAAAAAATAAGCATAGCTTAACAAACAAATACACTTACAAAGAGACAGACAGCATCGTTTTCTTGAAATGTTTAATGAAAGTTGAGCAAAGCCAAAAAGAAGATTTTTAAAAGAAATCGTATTAAATAGAGAAAATTATCACAAATAAAACTAACTAAAGTAAACTTAGCTGATATATATGTTGGATATTTTTAACCAAATATTCATCGAGTTTATCAATTAAATTTATTGTTACCATTTTCGATACAATATCTTGCAGTTTTATTTGATTTATTAAATTCAAATTTAATATCATGAAGATTACCTTTTCGGATTTCTACATCAATCGAATAATTTTAAAAAGAAATTGAAATTGAAGAATTATTCAAATTTGTTTAATTTTATGAACCATATTTTGATGCATCTCCTTACTGAATTAAAAGAAAGTATTTATATCGAAAAATCAATTTTCATTCTTTTATTCGCAAATGATGATAATGATTAAATTTGCTCAAACTCGATTGCTAAAAATTCATTTATTCAGTAATTGAATAATAGAAATAATTGATAGAAAAAAAAAACAATATTTTACAAATCGTATTCTTAATATACGTTTAAATACTTGTTTATTATCAATCGATAGGTTTTTAATTCCAGTTCTCATTTTATTCGTAGTTATCCGTGATGTTGAATCATTCGAAGATTGAATGATTTTATTATTTTTTTTAATAATTTCAAACACTCAACAGAAAGAAAAAAGAAGAATTTCATCGATTTTGTTCTCGCATTATGTTTTTAATTAAATCTTCAATATTTTCGATCCTTTAATTTTCTCATTGTCGAAGTTTATAAGTTTAGTCGTCATTTGACATTGAAGTATCATTTGCATTTCAGTCTTAAATTATTCTTGATATGAAAGGATACGAAATATATCTGAAAGTCAGTAATGAATATAGAAATTGTAACTACTGTGAGAATTATATTTTCGAAAGCAAACACTGATGCATATATCAAACTATTTTGTTGAAAAAGTAGAAATATCAGTAAGTCTTATGTATCAAATGGTCTATATAACACATAATAGAAGATACCTTTTAACAAAAGAAAATTGAGATTTATGTTTATTAATTAGCACTCTAACATTATAGAATATTCAGCGATGACAAGTTTTTTTTTCTTGTCATAGTTTAACTATAATATTGGTACAGATGTGTCTTCACTCTCATTCATTTATACTCATGCTTCATAGTCAAAACCATATCCACGCGTGCATCCACATTTCATGTCCACATCCAAAGGGAATTCAAGCTTTCTACGAGTATAATAAGGATTCTTAGAGTATAGAATGCAAAACTTCTTCTGATCATTGGGTCTAGAATACGTTTTTGAAACCATTCAGTTTATAAAGACATTTGATTTGAATGACTTTAATCAAGTGTGTCAAAGAAAAATAACTGTCTGATGTTTATGTAAATAAACTATATGTTCCATGAGTTGAACACCAAAGCGATAATTAACTAATCAGTCCAAGAGTCAATAGATCAGAGCTTACTGTTTGTTATATCATTATCTTCATAGAATTGTTCAAAATAATCGCCAACGTTTTCTATAGGGGAAGCTTTCTTCTGAGCATTTATATCTTTGACAATAGACGTATAGACAGAAGATAGTGTTGAGGTTAAGTATACGATATGTTTATTCAGATTTGAATTGAATTCAGGCTGTTTAACTTTAAAAAGTACATATCCCGGTGTGAGTATGACTTCTTCTTCATCTGGAATGATCGATAACTCACGAGGGAGGTACCCAAAGTGATTAATCGGTTTTGAGTTCGAACTCTGTGCATAAGGTAGATCCCAGTAAGATATGAAAAACCCCAAAAAGATAAGGGCCCATAGGCCTTTCGTTCAGAGTTATAGCCATTTTACTGGAATTTTCGCCTATAGCATAGTATACGCTAACAAATCGAATGACGATATTTCGATCTGAAATTTCGTCTACGAATAGGTCTACTTGTAACTAACGTNTCTTTACCACCTGAAATCTTTTATTAAAAAAAAAACAAAATATACCAAAAGATGCAGCGTAAAATGCTCTACAATCCACGAAGGAAAGCTTATTTTAATTGTCTACTTTTGGTATACAAAAAAAATAAAATTCTGTGCGATCAATTTTCGACGCTACGAAAAGATAACATGAAAAGACATTTCTTTTTTTTTTATTTCATCATTTTATCTCCTAATATGTTTTCGTAAAAAAAAACAAAATATACCAAAAGATGCAGCGTAGAAAGCTCTACAATATATACAGGTAATGAAAAGATAAAATAAGAAAAGAGATAACTTCTCGTTCGTCTTATCTTTTCACACAGTCGAGATTTGATTGCTTGAAGTTTTGACGATTTTGAAAAGAAAAAGGGCAACTGTAAAAAAATCGGTCTTATGCAAATTGTAGAGCTTTTCATGCTGCATCTTTTAGTATATTATATAAAAAAAAAAGTTCTTAGAAATTTTTCTATTAATATCGATAAGAAAATGTCGCGAACTTTTTTCCCATACCTTATTTTGCTAAGTTCCTTTCATTAATCTTTCTTCAAGAAATTTTTTATTTTTTATTTGGATCTTTAGTAAAACGAGCAACAGAATTAATTGTGATCGGATTTTAAGTTTAAATTCTAAAACAAGCAATATTTTTTAGATAAAAAACGCGCTTTATGAGGAAGTTTTTTTAAAAGAATTTTTTTCCATTCATAAAAACTACAGACTGATATTACGTACGTTAATATAAACTTTCCAATACTTTCAAAAACTTTCCAATTTGTAATGTTTACTAAGCAAAAATAGTTGTAAACACATTCTTCTAGTCATCTATGAAAATTGAATCCTTCCATAAATGACGTTGGCAATATAATTTTAAATCATTAATGATACAAAAATCTTCATAGAAAATATTTGCTAACTTTTCGATCACTTGTAAACAATTAATGACAATCAAAACTAATCAATCAGAATCAAAATTTGATGTTCTTTTCGAATATACGCTTGTTCAAAATTTTCTCCTAATGCGTAATCTTTGTCAACTAAAAGCAAATTTTTCAAAGAATACAATATGAAGTCTAAACAAGATTTTATTCTACCTAATTTTGTAATTCAAATAAAATCTATTCAATGAAAAATGTCAAAACAGTTTTTAATACATCTCTTTTCTAGAATAAAACTTATTGTACAAATTTGAATATGCACTTTTCCATATTATCTTGTAATAAAGATGAAAAATATTTTGTCTTTAAAAAAGCAATTTTAGAAAATAAAATGTTTGACATATAGTAATTGACACGGAATGCAGCTTGTTGGAAGAATGGCTGTGGGTGTGAGGCGTGGGACAAGAATCAAACGCATAGCTATATTCTAGGTTATAGCATGAAGAAGATAAGCAAGTAATGCGTGTTAAGCAAGTAAACTTTGACCAGTTAATGTAAGAGATGATAGAAGACTATCATGATATAATTGATATAAACATAAATTAATTGTTGCACGAGATTGAGAACGATAAATACTTTTGATTTCAATTAATATTGATGAGAAATTTTTTCTAATTAAATGATTTAATTGACCTTTTCAGACAACGTTTTAATTCAATCATTGAATTATCATCTTGAGATGTTAGTTTCTATCGAAAATGAAAGCAAATAGCGATCTCCAGTTTTTAGTATTCAGGGTCTGGGTGGTATGATGTGGGTGTGAGTGCTAGCCTTCTATTTAACAAAACTCACACTTACACCCATACCCTCAAGACGATCAGAGAGTGATCACATTTCTCCTCTTATATTTTCAAGTACGGTAAGAAGAGATTTATTAACTGTGAATTGATTGTCATGATCAATTTTTGATGAATCAACAACTGAAGATAAGCATTTCGTTAAAATGTTCATGTCTTTGTCAATAAAGGAATTAAATGAATGATGAAAATCATTGATTAATGATACTGAATGAAGAGATGATTGAACAGTGTTATCAAATTATCAAAAGATGCACGTTGCATTGATGATAAAGAAACAATTGACGACAATCATGATTGAGTTGATGAAAAACTTGATAATGTTTTCAAATATATTTTGTACGAATGTGTGGAAGAATTATTAGTAGACTGACGAGAGACAGAACTCAAAACGTCTCTCCTATCAGGGTCGACATTTGTTACGTCGTTAGATTTGAATGAGACGCAACTATTAAATATGCCAGGTACCACAATAATTTGAATTGGTAAATGACAAGAATAATATGAATAAATATCGAATATGAATCAAGGTCCAAAGTATATTAGTAAACAAGAAATTAGATAGAAGTAACTTAATGAAGAAGTAAGAATTAGAAATAAAAAGTTAAATTATGAGTCTTATTATTTTATGAAAACAAGAGTGAGATAAATAAAATATTAATAATAATCATAAAGCGAGGGAAAAAGGAAAACGAAATTAAAAATAGAACAAATATATACACATACACACCAAGCATCAATATAATAAGATCAGTGACGATGTGGCCGTCACATCCTCTCCTCTCCGTGTCCATATTCGTCGACTTCCCTTCCTCTTCCCAGATGTCCAGTACAAAAAAATTCCAGGAAGAGCCTCCTTGCTTAAATATATATCATACAGCAACCTATGACTCAGTCCAATCCCATATTGGTCTAGCTGAATCTGAAATCTGAGGTTGAACTATCCCAATATCAGATTGAGAGAGTAATTTACCACCAAACTCAAATCAGTCTACAGATGAATGTCGAATCCGAAGTTTTATTAATAAACTATATAAAAAGGCAATGGTATTTCAGTTGACACAATCAACAGGTTATGAATTAGGGGATGATCTAAGCAGTAATGAACTGGTTTATAGAGAAGCATAGATTCCATGGGAAATCGATTCATCACTAATCGGGCTTGCATTTACTCGGTCAAATGACCTATGACTTCGTTGAAACAGCATTGTTTTATTGTAGTTCACCAAAGGCAAACTGAATCTAACATGAATTCAGAGACTTGTTTGAGTTTTACTGTAGAATGTTTTCTCGATCCGACAGTGGAATAGTTCAATCTTGATTTGAGATTAGCCTAGACCAATACAAGACTAGCCGGAATTCAAGACTGATCTGCGATACATACTGCTTTTTTTTATTTTAATAAATGTATCAAAAATAGAAATGAATAGACACACATTTCATAAAATATGATCTATGACAAAGTTTGTATTTTGTAAATACATTGAATTTTTGAAGAACAGAAAATAGTAAAAATATAAAAAGAAAAACGATTCAATACCAATGATATTCGAATGTTTAACTATGTTCATATACAACTAATTGTCTATATTGCATAATCTTCCATTGTTTCAATTCAAGATTTATATTTTAAAAGTATTATTCAACTTCATTTAAATACATGTGTAAAATTTCTTTTTTAGTTTTTTATTATTTATTTACCGAAAGCTTTTTCTTTTACGAGTTCATTATGTTGATATTTTCATGTTTCATTTTTTAATAAAATATTTCCATCGATATAATTCAATGGAAATTAGCGATGCATTTATTACTGTCATCTTTGTATTTTGATTTACACTTTATTGTCTTTTTGACAAGATCGATGACAGAAAATTTCTTTCTTTTTTTTTTTTAATTATATTTTTTAACTGATGAATAAAATATAGTCAAAAGTCTACAATCAGCTAATTGTTTTTTCCTTTTAGGAATATTTTTGAAATATTGAGAATTACATGCCCTATTTCATATGTGCTATTTGATTAGTTAGTTTAACAAACGAATGATAATAAAGCAAAAAAAAAAAAAACAAATTAGCGAAGATTTTTATCTAAACAGTATTATTGTTTTTATTTTATTAAAATGTAACTCATATTTTTGCATAACTTGATATTAAGTTTTATGTTATACTTGACAACGTATAATAATTTATGATTGGTCAATCTCAATTGACAAAGTGGCCCAATCGTAATTATTCATTCTAAAGAAAATATTTTTCAATTACTTTTACATAAAATGACTTGGATATCGCTGCTTACTTGTTCATTTATTGTACTACTATCAACAAAAAGTGTACTTAGTTACTATGTATTAATTGATGCTCATGATGAAGAATGTTTTTTTGAAAAATTAACATCTGGAACAAAATTATTAGTTACATATGAAGTAATCGAAGGTGGTTTTCTCGACATAGATGTTAAAGTAAAATGAAATACTTTTATATAAATTATTGAATTTATCCTATTTATTTCTGATCTAGATAACTGGACCTGATCAAAAAGAAATTTACCGTGGTGATCGAGAATCAAGTGGAAAAACAACATTTTCTGCTCATATGGATGGAATTTATAAATTATGTTTTAGTAATAGAATGTCAACAATGACACCAAAAATGGTTATGTTTGAAATGGATGTTGGAGATTCACCCAAACTTGATATGGCATCTGGTAAAACATCAGACAATGTTACACGTAAATAAATATTTATTTTTCTAATATTAACAAGAAAAATTTCTCAAAGTGATTCATCATTTATTAACTCATATTTTGAGCATGTAGAAGAGACTTATAGACTAGAAAAACGATTCGAACACATTCTATAGAATTGTGGAATTATTTATCTTGAGATATTCAATATTTAAAAATCGATTAGATTTTAGAGACGATTAGAAAACTCCTAAAATATTATGAGAATAATTAAATTTACTTATAAACAAGGAAAAAATTTCAGATAAATAAAATCGTCTTCATCATTTTTCCTATGGTACAGATGAGATTCTTGTAGGACAATGTTGAATGTCCCGCAAGATAATTATTAATTTTGTGTGTTTAGTTCATCATAATAAACTTGAAGAACTTGTTGCTGAATTATCTGCATCGTTAAGTAATATAAAACATGAACAAGAATTTATGGAAGTAAGAGAACGTATTCATCGTGCTAGTAAGTGATGTTTATTTTTATTTTATTGATAGAATTATACACACATATATATATATATTCTTCTAGTTAATGAAAATACCAATTCACGTGTTGTTATGTGGTCATGTTTTGAAGCTTTTATTTTATTAGCTATGGCATTTGGTCAAGTATATTATTTAAAACGATTCTTTGAAGTTCGTAGAGTTGTATAAAAAGAAAAGACAAGAATTTTTTTTCCTGATTTTTATTAATAAGAAATGTCGGAGTGTATCTTGTTTTTTCATTTTTTTTTTGTTAATCATAAATATATCTATTTCGCTGCCGTATTTGAACTAGTTTATACATCGAATATTCTTATTCAATTAAGTGATAAAATTTTACATATAGTTTTTATTTAATGGAAAATAAATGAAAGAATTAGAGATTTAAAAAATGAAATGAAGAATTTCATCTTTAAATACTCATAAAAAATTATTCATTTTTTTTTATCAAACTTCAGTATAAAACATATTCAGTTTGAGTCGAAACAAGACATAATGTAGATCGTAAAACTTTATACGCTATCTCAATATTGTATCAATGCAAGCATTGATTAATCAACAAGTGATTTTTTTTTTCAAATATTATATATTAATAGAACATGTTTTAATTATGAAAGAGAAAAAAAATGAAATATAATAATCTATTTAATGCGGACGTTTCATTTTAAATATATTAGCAAGTTTATCAAATGCTTCTTGTGAACGATTAAGTTTTAGTTGCATACCATCTGTTGTTATTGGACTTAATCTTAAACTAGTTAGATTACTATGATTTCTATGCTCAAAAAGAGCATGTCCACAACTAGATGATAATGGATTTTTTCCATTTGTAATTACCATAACAAGTGCATGTTTTATTTCTGCAATATCGATACGATGTTCAATTGTTTTATCAAGTGTTTCATCATAAATTTTTGAATATTCTAATTTAATTTCACATAAATCTTCACTTTGATGACCAATAATAATTCTTATTAATGTTCTATAATCAATTGGTTTTTCATCTAATGCTTGTCGAAGTATTTTAGAATAATAACCACTTGGTAATCTTATATATTCAACCATGTCTTGAAAACATTTTATTTCAATTTGACTTTGAAATTGATGTTCTATAGCTTCTTGTATTGATTGTCCAAATTTATCTTCATATATATCAAATATAGCTGCTAATTGTGAAAAAGCATCACGTGTAAACATTTGTGTATATGTATCACGATCAATTTCAGATGTACCTTGACGAACTTCATATAATTGTTGAGCAATTATTTTTGCAACTGATGCTGAATGTACCGGTACTTCATAACGTTTTCCTTCAAGTAATTTAATAAGTAATTTTGATGCAATACTATTTTCATCTTGAGCAAGTTCAATGTCTTTTTGAACTGAATTTTTAAATACATTTTCATATGTTTCTTTAAAGTTTTGTATATCATTATTATCTAATGCTAATAAAATTCCCAGTAATTTTCTGAATATATTACAGTTATTTTTATCAGCTCGTTTTAATATAAGTAAATCATGAAAATCACGTGCAAACAATACCATTGGTTCAATTATCATGGCTAATGTACATAAACGTACAGGAGATTCAGGTTGGTCAAGTATCATATTAATAAATTTATAACCATATTCATATTCAAGACCATAAACAAGTATCAGACGTTGTTCACAATTATATGATGATAGAAAACGAAGAATAAAATCTAAATCTAATGCATAAGTTATTTCACATTTTTGCAATATTTTCGATAGACATTTTATATCACGTTTATAATCAAAGTCAATTGAATGACCAAATGAAGGAGCACTAAATGCCTGCTACAAAAAATATTTCTTTAATTCTCTTCAAAGAAATATTTAACAATACTTACTGTTAAATGTTTTTCTGATTTACTCCAATTATTATCAAATGTTTTCTTCATAGTTTTACTGTTGAAATGCGTAATAGAAAAAAAAAAAAAATATATATATATATATATAGATTTCCTTTCTTATTATTATGTTATTTATATATGTTTCGATCAAGGTCAATCGGAGACGAAAAAGAATGAAAAAAAGATAAACAACAAACTTGTTATTAGTTGTGCTCGGTCAATTTGTCTTTTGAGAAGAATACGATAAGTGTGCACATATATTATCACAATAACACAACACATATGTTTGTAGCTTAACAGTCAATATAAATTCGTTTTGTGTTTTTTTCTTTTTTTTGAACCCAATCTATAATTATACTCTGCTGAGGTATGATTATAGTATCCAAAGTCAAGGTCGAAACAGATAATTATAAAAATACGATAATATTTACTAAAATATACATTGCATATATTTGATGAAGCTTAAAATAGGTTTGACAATTACTTTGTTAAATCAATAACAAAAGAATCAAATCAAATTAATATCATGTAAATCATTACAAACAAATATGAAACAAACTCTTCGAAATTACGTTTCGTATTAAACTGATCCCAGACATGTATCCAAATTAGAGTAAACAGCTGATCTATTGTCAATGTCATGCATTAGAGACTAGATTTCTCTTGCAATGAGTTGTTAGAGAAAGAAATTTAGTTTTTTCCAACGGTTGGCTTGTCCCAAAAAGGAGATCAATTTTCAATAGCCGACAAATTGTCAATCTGCTTTCTTTTCAGGTTCAGCATGAAAAAATAAATCTAGGAAAGTCATCTAGGTTGACTTCTTTTTCAGAAGAAGTAGGTCATTGAAAAAGCCGAATTTTTTTCCCCTAATAACTCATTCCACAAAAAAAATAAAACCAAAATATTCTTGATCAACTCATCACGATCTTTTTAATCACATATAAAAATGTCTGCTTCATTTTTGCATTTTCAACACCTTACAAAAACTAACGATATGCTCATTTGATTTACTAAACAAGAAAAAAAAAACTACATCATTAATACCGTATATAACATCAGTGAAGTTTATTTGTTTTATGTACAACAGTCATAAATTCAGATATGTAAATGCATTTTTTCATATATATATATATTTACAGAGCTTAACGAATCCTATTTAACTATGTAAAATTATTTAAGAAAGAAAAATTGTATTCAATTTTTGAATTACAAACACTTTACTTTATAACTCTTATTGTTTTGATTTTCAAAATCTTTCATCTGTACTTTCCTGTTGTTTTTTATTTGTCTGGTCATACTAATTTAATTGAGAAGAATTTTCTTTTTAAATCAATGTTATAAGGGTCGACTTGATAGTTTAATAAAAATTGCGTTATGAAATTTTATTTTCGCAATGAATCCCTTCAGTTGAAGTTGCGATGAATAATTTAAATGAGGATAAAGTCATATTTACTTTTTTCTTTTGGTGAAATAACTTTTACTTTTATTGCTCGTCCTCTGAAGACATATAAAAAAAGCAGAAAAGTGTGAAATAACTATAATTAAATCATTTGCAACGATGATATTTAACACAAACAACTTAGTTACTGCTTATTTACGTTCAAATAATCAGTCAAATTCGATTAAACGTCAACAAGTAATTAAAATTAAATTCTATTAAATAATATTCATTTAAATAATTTAATTTTAGTATTCTACTCGACAGTCAAAAGTATTAACAATGAAAACTTTAAATTTATTATATACAGAATTAAATGAATCATCAATAAAGAATAATCATCAAATTAAAATAAAGCGAGACCTTGATCAACAATCACCAATTTTAATTCGTCGTCTTTGTCCTAAGTTAGAAAATCTATCTTCTCATCAACAACCTTTCGATATTAACGATGCTTTTGGAAATAAATTACAACCAACTCTTTCACCTCATTCAACATTTCGAGGATTTTCATTACATCAAAAACCATTAAATTATTCAAAAACTATTGGTGAAGGTACAATCAAACATAATGTATACAATGCAAAACTGTCACATCCTCTTCAAATACCAATATGGACGCCAATATTACCAGAAAAGGAAGAGACTCATACTAGAATATTACATTCAAAAGCTTATTCATTAAAACATTCTAATAATCGTGATCATCAATTTAAAAAAATAAAAACTAATTTAGATGAAAAACAAAATTTTATTCCAGAGTTATATATCACGTCAAGATCGACAAATAATCGTTTAAAAATAATTAAAAAAACAAATATTAAAGATTCATTTGATGAATGTAAGTGTAAAAATCTTCTTATTTAATCTCAAAGCATTTTCATTATGTTTTACATGTTAATCTTACAGAATTTTTGTTGAAAACATTCAATATAAACAATTAGTTATCGTGTTTTTCTTTTACAGGGGAAGATTCTGACTCAAGCATTCCTTCTCTAACGGATGATGAAGAATCAGTCATTACACATTGTGATAGTCCGTTGTTCATGCAAAATCCTCAAATCAATATTGAAAAATCTGATTATTTTGTATGTTCAACTTTAGTATCAGACCCACATTTATTGTTCTCTAGTTCATCTAATGATAATTCTGAATTGAAACCAGCAAAAATAACGAATTTACGACAACATGCATATGGTACTCCTCTACCGCCAGTTGTTGAACATGCTAACGATGAAGAAACATATGATAATATTTGTTAACTAATTATCTTTCTCCCTGTTTTATCTTCAATCTTTCCTTCGATGATAATATTACTGTAATTTTTTTTTTTTTTTATTAAATTAACAAGAAATAAAACTTTGTATAAAATAAAATAAACTTTCATAGTTAGAATGTCACTGTCGTACGATCGAATAAAATATTGAAGATGATCAGAATTTTTTCTTCCAACACATGATAATTTCTATTTCATACCATCGGAATCAACCTTAATCAAAACAAAAAAAGAGAACACTCCATGAAATTCACTCTTATTGTATAAAGTATTTTATTTTGTTTCTATTAAAACTTCTAATTGGCATGTAATACAAATAATAAATTCGTACATCATCACTTCTTATAATAGTTCCAATTAAATGATATTATTTGATTGTTAACATATTATTTCTTCATAGATTATCAATTGTAAGCACCTAAAATTTTCATTTCTGATCAATGTTTTATTTCAATAGAAATAGAAACCATATAAAAGTAGCATAAAATTTTATTAAAATAATAGCTTACCTCAAAATATTCGTTCATATCACCGACTACAAAGAAGTGGAGGAGTTGAATCTCACCAATTATTGATGTTCAGGGTGAGACGAACTGCTCCACTTAGTCGAGTCGAGTATGTCATGAGAAAGCAAAAAAAAAAAAGAAAAAAGAGAATGAGGAGAAGAAAAAGAAAGAAAAAAAAATATAACAAATGGTTTTTTTCACAGGCGATAACATTTCTTTTTCGATTTTCATTACAACAAACGAAAGTCGAAACAAAAAAAAGTAATCGAAAAAAAAAAAGCTTTTTCTTTTCTCCCTGAACTTTACAGCTGTTGATAATCTATATGTGACGAAATTTGACTACATAGTAAAACGTTATAAAGAAACTCAATCTCAATTTAATGCGTTCTTTTTTTTTGTATTCTCTCTTCTTAAGAAAAGAAGAGAATATCAACAGAAAAGAAAAGTATTAAAAACTAATTGAATTTAAATTGTGTTTGATTCTCGGCTTAAACAAAGGTCGTCACATATACAATAAGACTTACGAGAATAATGATGATTATAGACTTATTGATATGAGCTGGAAGAATATAGATCTGGCATTTTAAAAAATAGCTATGCGAAATCCATCTTCCAGCTCACATACAATGTAGTCAACAAAAATGAATATATAAAATTTTTGCTCATTTTATATACGAAATGATAAGACAAAGAGCGAGAGAGAGAGAAAAAGAGGGGAAAAAGGTAAACATTGTTATCCGCTTCTTCTCTTGATGTTGACATATCTGTAACAAGCAGAAAAAAAAAACGTTGACGACAAACTGTCTTATCCAAGATAAGCTAACAGTTCAAGTGTGTAGATGCGCTTACTTACCAACGGTTACCTTTTTATCCGAATGAAAAGAAATAGATAATGATGATGAAAAAGAAAAAATTATCGACAATAAAACAAGAGATATTTTGAAAAAAAAAAAAAGAAAAGATGTCAATATAATATTTTATTTCGTCTTTAATAAACATAAATCTTCATTTCGAAGAATTTTATATTTAGTCATATCGTGCAACCTTTAGACTATGCAAGTTGAAGTAAATAATGAGTGATAATCAGTTCTTTTTTTGTCTTTCATTTTCAACTACTTTTACTTATGATATCTACCGTTTATTGAATAAATATACACAACACTTGTCTTTAGAGTATATTTCGACATAAAAGAAAAAAAAGGAGTTAGTGATAATTGAAAAGTTGACTTTTTCGAAATGAAAGTATACATTATCTGTAATTTGTTTAGAAATATATTCAAGGTTAAGACCAATGATGTCAATAAAATTATTGTGTAGTATAAGATACAAATGCAAAAAGAGAAACGCATAGTGTTTCATAAATATTAGAGTAACATGATAACTGATCCAAAATATACAAGTTTCTTGTGTCTGTTATTTTGTTTTGTTTTTTTGTATGAGAGATGATATAAAATCATAGGTCGATATTCTAGCCTATATTCTTAACTAAATCGATGAAAAATCGTTGTACATAATATATCAATTAAACAATCAGTTCTTTCAAGAAACAATCTATTAATTCATGTCTACACAAACATACTATGTAAAACTCATATAACTCTTATATTATACTATGCTTTGGCTGACATTTTTCACTCATAATATGATTTCTTTGCAATGGAGAAGTTTGATCTATTCTTAATTGAAATAATTATTTAACACAGCTGAAAGACATCTTAATTCATAAAATGATACCATTACTAATAGAAAGTTAGAACGATTTTTATATTAGACTATCTATTTTAAGATCTCTTAATATCTAAATATTTCCATAATTACATAATGCTACCATTTAGTACGATCTTTATAACTGAACAGAATTTTTCTGATATTTTCTAATGAAAGTATTGACTAAAAAACTACTAGCTATTGANTTTCGACTATTATCCTTTCTTTTACTGCAATAGTCGTGTCACACAATGAACAATTACTAAGAATACCGGACGGTAATGCTAGCGACCCGTAGGAGACAATTTTATAGTGAATTGTTTATATTGACCATCTTGGAACTTTTCGACATTTTAGACGTTCGATATTTTTTCTTTCGATATGTTTATCTTTCGATCATTTTTCTTTCGACGTTTTTTTTTTCGACATTTTCTATGCCATTCCTCACCAGAATTCGGAATTCAGTTAGCGTTGTTTTAATACAAAAAATAAATGTTTCAATCTAATTGGAAGACGATGAATTTTGCATCATTAATCGGCTATAATACAAACTGATCGAAAGTGCTCTGACAATGATAAAAACAGTTACATCACGATGAATCACATCGTGAAGATAATTCAAAATCTTGGTATCACCTATCATTTTGATATCTCAAATTTATTCTACGATAAGAATGGAATGAAATTTCTTAAGAATAATAAATGACATGCAAATCAATATCATAGGAAGAATTCATTTCAATGAATGCCTCCTACTTTTTTTCTCATTTCAAATCTAATACAGGATTCATACCGTAGGTAAAATTGTACAATATACCAGGCTTATCAACTTTTCGTGTGCATGAAATATTAATGTCTTTATTATCAACAACCGTGCCAACCATTGACGTATATCGAGATTTTGAGATCACCAAATGTTATGTGCTTCATAAGAAAAATAAACATCACACTTCAACTAGTCCTTGTGATAATTAATGCGCATAAACATTCACTCAAACCCAACAAACACCTCGTATTCGAGATTCTAACCAGCAAAAGTGAGTCATACAAACGTGAATCTTCTCGAATACAAGAGTAAGCAGATTGGCATTGTGCATACGATTTTCTCACTATCTACCCCCAAACTTTTTTCTACATTTCCACATCAACAATCGATTAGTAGACCTACGACAGTTTCATATCAGTTCCGATTTTGAGAACTATGCCAATAGTTCTTTCGATAGAAACAGATCTATATAGAAATTCTTTTTGAATGAACTGATGTTCCTGGAAATCTCATTTTAATCTCCTTATTGGATTTATAATTGCTCCATTATGGACCAAGCTTGTGAAATGCACAAATGTACTGGAGTAAAGCTGACGGTAACTTAATGCTAGAAGAGAAGTACTCAATTCTAAAAAAAAACGAACTAATTACTAGATCCAGCTCTTAAAAGAGCACTATTTTCTTGATATAGTTCTTGAAAAAGAATCCGTTCTTTGAACGGAGAGCTGTCGCAGGCCTATCGATTAGGAAATATAATCTCACAAAAAAGACTTCTATCTCATCTCGCAAAATAATTTCTTACTCGACAAAAAAGCGTCTACCATATATTGCGTTCGCATTCGTTTGCGGTTTCCCTAATGTCATCGACCTAACTGTAATCTAATAGATATAAGCAACATCTCAAAGTCCTATTTGTTTATTCCACTACTTCACTCGATACCTCTATCATTACTGACCCAAATCAATGAGGATGTATCCCGGTGCCAATAAAATCGAAGCTCTCACAGTATAGCATCCAACAATTCGATGACGAAGTAACACGATGACTCTTATTTTCTCTTCATCTCTCTCATATACTTATCTGCCATTTTTCATAGAGACACTCACCACACTAAATCTTTTGACAATCCAATCGGAGACAAAGAAGCACCACATGGGGCTAGTACACTGCGAAATAACCGTGTTGCCGTCATTCTGTCGTGTCATTATTGAGATGTTATGTCTGTTTAAGTGATACTTGACTGACCAACATGATTTTCTATTGGTAGAATTTGGTGTGATTTAACTAAAGTGTGGAATAAGCAGAAGGGATGGGATGGAAATTATTTTTCTGCTTAAAGGAGGTTGATGGAGTGGGTGTATAGGTGGTGTATGATTGTGAGCATGAATCTGGCTTCCTTGTTAACTGACATCCACATTCATGCCCACACACCACTTACAGCCATATCTACACCCACATCTTACAAAAAATTTCAAGTCAAAGTTTGCCTGTCATTATAGAATTGAAAAAAATTTTAGTCTATCGTATGGTAACGTAAAAAGTTGTTCATTATCAATTTTTCTCTAGAAGACAGTTATTTCTAGTATTTCAATAATAGTTTAATGTCCTTTCTTGTAAATCTATTTAAAATCATGATACGTTTTTTAGATAACATTATCATTTATTGGCCAGAATATATAGAGAGAAAATAATTTGACCGACGTCCATTTTTAAAACCATGATTATATGAGCGATTCTCTTATCGCATTCTTTCTGTGCACCATCGACTGAAATCTTCGTTGTATATGTATTAATTATTGCTTTCTATTTCGATACATGTGCAATAAGAAAGGGAATGAGAACAAATATGTGAACAAAATAAATTGATATTTATTTTCCATTATTTCTTTAAACATGTATTGCATTTAATATAGTTCAATTGGCATATACCTTTGTTTGAAGAATATAAACAATGTATTGTCAAGTTCATTTAATCATGACTACCAGTTTAAGTATGATCATGACAT